TCATTATTTTAATATGAATAACCAATGCTGTACTATGCCTTCTGTACAAGAATAATCTCAAAATATCTCATAAACCTGTTTTAGAGAAAGGACATCTGGATTAATTCTATTAAATATAGCTATGAAAGAATCAATATGGATATTATGTAGCCTTTGTAACCTAGTGCCTTATGGATATTATAAAATTAGAGTCTACATTATTTGTCATCAGAACAATGGGACCTGTAGTCTAACAAATTTCAAGGATGTCAAATTAGGGAAGTCGGATGCAGTGAAGAATATTTTTATAATAACTCATCAGGTCAATAGAATAGAAAAATAGGGTTTGATCTATTTCCTGCTGGCTATATAATACGAAAAACAATGGCTGAGGCATATTCTTGAATTGAAGGAAGAGAAAAATTAAATCATTTAAAAATTGGAATGATAGAGAAGAAGGAAATAAAATGAGGGTTAGACCAGTCTCAATTATGTGTGCTGGAAACGAAACATGAAGGCATCTCTTTTGATCTAGACAGTCATCTTACATATCTAAGCAAAAAAAAAAATCATCTAGGAAATCTCTTAACAGCTAGGCAGAGAATAATAAAATTACTACTGAAATTCTAATTATTCCATTAAATATGTGCAATGTCATGATGCACATATAAAGGAAATAGTACTTATATCATGATGGCTGCTTCATCATTTGCCCCCACAATGGACATCCATACTCATTTGTTTCCTGAACTCATCCATAAAGGCTCTTGGATTTTCCTTCATTCTATCCAAGCCCACTTAAATCTAACCCATTTTACAAAGTTGTTATGAAAATAAAATTGGGGAGAGGGAACCGTGCATGCTACCTTGAGACTTTGGGGAAATAAAGTGAAATATAAAATAAATAAACAGGAAGCATACCAACCCTTGAAACTGTTTCTCCCTTAAAATCAAAACTAGCCTATTCACTTCCACCAGGTTTCTAATTTAGTCTTTAAAACAAGGACATCTTGGATAATACAGAATTTATCAGTTTGTGAAGTCACACTCCTGTCTGAACCACCTCAACCTCCAGTTGAGGGCAAGGTGGCATCCTGATATAAAAAACGAGGGTCTCATATCTTTAAATCTCTATTTCTTTCTGCTGTGAAAATATATTCTGCATATGTATGTCCACACCACTACTGAACATTATGAAGTGGCCAATCTGTCATGCAGCAGAGCTCCAATACAATACATGAAAGCATGCAATCAAGAGCTGTTTGGTTGTTTGCAGAGGATGCTTTGCCCAAGCCACAATCAAATCAAAGGGTTCCTTCAAGGTTTTGTACAGATATAATTCATACATGCAGGCAAGAATGCTCCGATATATTATCTAATTGCATGCACATTAACATAAACATTACACACAAAGCTCAGATATTTGTCAACTCTAGTGGATTCTGCTAATTGCCGTGGTCATTAAAGATGCTACATACGTCATTCTCCTCAGGCCGTGATGAAGGGGACAAAAATATTACTGGTAATCTAACTAATATTATTTTATCTTAATCATAGAGCTATTCAATTATTTTAAAATATTTAATGTGTATATCATTTTTATCCAGTATAATTTGTCCTTTTCAACTCCAATATACCTATATTAATATAAGATATTGGACAGTGTTTTGTTTTTGGAGCATACCCTCTATCTCAGCAACCCATTGAAAGATTAAGTGTGACCTTCATCTGAAAAATATAGGCAACTTCTTTAAATTCCATTTCAAGCTAAATCATGTTACATAAGAAATCCCAAACAAACTAAGCATTAATCATCCCATCTCTTGATAGGATTTTTCTCATTCCACGGAAAAATCCTATCGGTTTACTAACAAAACGTCATAACCAGACACTATTGTTTAAAGTATGCATATAATATGCATATAGAGATAAAGAGGGGACAAAAATATTACTGATAATCCAACTTGGTATTATTTTATCTTAATCATACATCTGTGATCATACAATTTAATTCTCAATAGATATTTTCAGTGGTTGCTTTAGAAGTGTGATTTTGTCACCAAACTAAAACCTAAGTAACTGTTGATACAATTACACCACAGTTACTTCTTTGTTACTGTTTGAAATGCATTTTAGTTTCTTTGTAAAATAATGGGTAATCTTTAAAATTGATTTTTGATGGTTTGAGGCATTGCACCACAAAAATAATGAACACTAATGTCAATGATATTGGACAGAAATTCATTTTAGCTTTATTTCATGTCCAGTGCAATTTTGTTAAGCCTTGAACTGCCAATGCACTGTTATTAACTTGCTGGTAACCTAACATATGGGAACAGCAAACAAAAGTGATAAGAGTACAGGTTGATCTAAGCACATCAAGGCTACCATTAGCCCTCTCCTGCCCCTCCCTGCCACTACAATTCAATTTCCACTTTTATTTTTCACTGGATTCATTACTGTACAGTCATTCTTTTTTCTGCTTAATAGTGCCATCTGGAGGCTTAAAAAAACTGATCAGTTCAAAGATAATAAATTAAAAACAGATAGGGTATCCTAGAAATGCAAATATGCCAAGTGTGAACAGACATGTATTGAAAGGTCTAATATCTGTCAGTCCTTTGAGGTAACTAGGTCAAGAAAAAGTGCTGGCAGGAATTCCAGAAAGGCTTTTCTTATTGCAATAAAGTAGAATAACAACCTTACTGCAATACTGTTTATGTCCCATTTTAAGTAAAATCAACATGGAATTATTTGAGGCTTTGTTCCCAAGTTTCCCTCTACCTCAAAACTCTATAATCTTTTTCTTAATCTCCCCTTAACAGCTTGTTTCTTCCTTCCGTATCCGCAAGGTCGGTTCTATATTCCCATATATTTTCCTACTGTTTTCTTAGGAAGAACAATATTTAATATTTGCCTTTGATCCATGATCCAGATTTGGACTGAAATGGGAGACAGAGGTAGAGTTTAAATCAGGGATGACAAACTCAAGGCCTGTGGGACAGATCCACTGTGCAGAGTGCTTAAATCCAGTTGACAGGGCCGGCCTGGAAATATCAAGGGACCAGTCTGTGGTACCTCTGGCAGCTAAAACGGGTTTTGTATGGCCCCCTGCATCTCGTTTTCACCCTGCATGGCCTCCTGCAGCACTCTGCTGGCTGAAACTGGGCTGAAAAACAGGCCTAAAATCAGGCCCAAAACAGTTGGAAAATGGGCCCAAAACAGGCCGAAAAATGGGCTGAAAAATGACCCGAAAACGGGCCATATGGCCTGCTTTTGGCCAGCAGGAGACCATGGAGGGCAAAAATGAGGCACGGGGGCTGTGTGCAGATCCCTCATGCCCCATTTTGGCTTGCAGGGTGCTGCAGGAGCATCCATCCTGTTGTCCTGCTGCCACCCTGCCATCCTTCCCAGCTGCTGCCAGCCCACAGACAAGAGCTACAATGCTGATCCGTCCCTTGAAGAAATCCAGTTTGACCTCCCTGGTTTAAATCATGGTTTGATCAGATATTATGCTTTTTACCAGCCTTGTACACTTGGCTTCTAGTTTATTTGCTTGTAAACAGTGCTTAAACCTGTTTCAGACATCACAGGAGAAGGTAATAAACAAAGTCTGTTGCTTCTCTCCACATCTCTTTAAATAGAGACATGGGGAAACTAAATTCACATGATAAACCCCAATCTGAATACAAGTTGTCTGTTTCCATATCCGTCTTACCTGGTTGTGCTAAGCTATAATGTAGCTAGTCTGGGTTTGGATTAGCATAAATCATAATACATAGATGATCATTATGTATCTGAATCTTACAGATATCATTTGTTTGAAAAAAATCTCTAATATTAAATATATTTTACCATACTGTGGAATAGTATGGCGCTATAGTACTATCTAATATGTAGCTTATAAATAGCACTTGAATTACAACCATTCATCCAACAATTCAAAGTTATGACAATGCCAAATAAATGCTGGTTTAGCCCTGCTCCTGTTCTAGTGAGCCCAGCACCTGCAGTCATGTGGTCTCAATTTGGACACTTGGCCACCAATTCACACTTAAAACAACTGCAGCATCGTACATCATACTTTGCAACTTTCCTGCCAGCTTCCCACAAGTCAATGGGGAAGCCGGCAGAGAAACTATCCCAGACCTCTGCACAGCACCTCACTGCTCATCAATCTCCCTCACCTGGCAGCAGCCACTAACTTGCCTGCCAGATTGTAAATAACCTGGGATTTGCAATTTCTTGCTAGTTTCCCCACTGACTTTGGTTGTGAGAAGCTAGCAGGAAAGTGCAAGTACTTACTTAATGACCTAGTTAAAGACAGTATCACTTAGCAACAGAAATCCCAATCCCAATTGTCATCTTTCTGTACAGCCTTAGTAATTTGAATGCATTACCCTAATAGGGATTTTTTTAATTTTGTAAGCATAGGAGATGTTGAAGTTATGTTTGTAGCCATTTCTTCTGGAATTTATGCATCACAACTTGTCAGCTTGAGATTTGATCTGGCCTTGTTTCCAGTTATCAGAAAAGTTAATTAGATTGCAGAGGGCTGCCAAGAGAAACTTGGTTTCATCTAATCAGTTGAGATCTTGAAACCATTGTTTGCAGCCCTCTGTTGGACAAAAATAGTAATGTTTAAAATATATTAATTCCAATTACCTAACTGCATACATGGTGAAGACAACACGCTTTCAATTCTATTCATAACTGGCTTCTATGTGCTTTAAAGAATTATTTTATCTTCCATTTTAGTCTCTAAGCAAGCACAGGTGACAATGAAGCCTTCAACAGCAATTGGCCTAGTTGATTCAAATGTTCTAGAACATTCACAAACATTTCAACTGCTAAGACAAGGACAGACACATTCTAAACTAAAATATTTACAAACTATATTTTGCTGAAAGAAGCAAAGTCACTGGCTACAGTGATGGAGAGCAATGCAAACAAACTGCAACGGGGCGGGTGGGGGGGGGGGGGGGGAAGGGGGCGGCCGGGGGGGGGGGGGGGGGGGGGGGGGGGGGGGGGGAATGGGGACAGCCTGCAGCCTGAAACAATGACAGGATGGAAAGATCAGTGCAAAGAAACCTTTGAAACAGAACTGCTTAAAGAGCAAAAAAACCTAGAAGAGAGGTGGCTGGAAAATGGGATTTCTTTCTTCCTTTTTTTAAGGCAGTTAATAATCACCAGGATGGGCCAAACAAATTGTTGAGAATATGATGGGCTGAAAATATTGACTTGAAATGAAGGGAAGTTTTTTAGCACCACTGAGTAAGGAAATGTCTCTGTGGCCACTAAGTATCTTCTTTCTATAGATTCTACGTCTTGACCACTTTTTTAATGATTCTTGTGGTATAACTAAGAAACTGGCTTACTACTAAACAAGAACTAGCATAATATGTTACTGTGATGGTAGAATAAGACCACGCTGGAATGGTTGACATTATCCTCAGCAGCTAATTTACCCTTCCAGTAAATGGATGATTTGGCATCTATGGCAGGCATTTTCTGAGTGGGCAACTATTTGGGAAATGAGCCTTACCACATCCTCCAAATGCACTTTCAGCCTCAAATCTATTTCCGAGATAACAATAATCATTTGTGTGTGTGTGTGTGTGTGTGTGTGTGTGTGTGTGTAGCTACCATTTATTTATTTACTCATTCATTCATTCTATCAATCATTTGTTTATTTTAAATGTATAGGCCTACCCCCATCTTCCTGTCCAGGCAGACTCTGGCTGGCTTACTGTCAGAAAAGCTCATTCACACAAGGCCAACAAATTGGTCTAGCTTATGATGTATGGAAGAAGAAAATAATTGCCAAGGGTATCGCAGATATTAAGTCCATAAGTCCTATCAGTCTCAAATTTCTTAAGGCAGTACTATTGTGGGACTGATGGGCATTCTGGGCTAAAACTCTGACAAGATTCAGATTTCAAGGAGGCTAATTAAAACCTTGTTCAAACACACATCTGTGGGGAAGAAGGAAAAGAAAACGGGAACAGATAAGCATAAACTGAAAGTGTTTGAACAGTTCTACAGTACGGTACTAAGATACAAGATAACTGAAAGTATTAAGTATTAAAATTATTATGAATCTTTCAATCATGCATCTTAAATTACAAAAGTTTAATTTAAGGTGGTATCAATTACTTTTCATCAAACAGATATTACTGAGATATATTAGGTATATACACAAAGTATTGGAAAATACTAAATGTTTGTGCATACTAGTGCCCAGTATTGATCTATATATTGTTAAAAGCTACCCAAGTTGGGAGAGTGGAAAAATAGCCTATATTTCCTCAGTCAGATCTACTGCTTCTATTTCCATTATATTCAGCATAGAGGACTTAAATACATTAACAAAATTCCAAAGCTTAAAATAAACTTATGTGCATAAGGCAGGCCTCAAGATGTTTTGTTTATTTAGAGCTTCTAAATAAGTCTGAAGTCTGGATTTTTAAAACTAAAACCATATTTTTAAAATTAGATGTTGCTTTGTTTGGACAAAAGAGGAGGGGGCCAGATTGTGTTTATTATATGTATATTGTAAACTATTCTATTAGAAGAGAACATATAGCTGAAATGGACCATGGCCTATTCTAACTAAAACTTTTTCAGTGTCTTACGTAGCCCAATATAGTGACAAGTGCCTGCTTGTATGTGTGCTGAAAGCTAAAATACCGATCTGTTTTCAATAAATTTGTGCAGCTTATTTACTTCATTTCTTGACTCTGGATAGGTGTTCATGAGAAATATAATCTATAGAAACAAGCACGCACAGCCTGTGCTTTGGTGCCCTCTATTGAATGCATACACAGGCAAGATTTCAAAAGGAATTCATTAAAAATTCATCCTACAGTAACATACAGTAGATAAGGCTGCCCCTTTTTTCCTCCTAAAAAGAAAGCAAATACTGAGTCTTAAATATTGAATACAGAGTTAAATAATCTTAAAAGCATTACATCCATTTGATTTCAATGGTTTTGGCCCATGGATTGTTGGAAAATAATTATTCCTGCTCCTCCATAACTTATTATTCTTGAATAGGAAAAAATACAGAAATAAACTTTTATTGTATTTAAATGGAGAGAAACAAAAATGAACATTCTTGAAACAGCTGTTTTAGGTGTTACAACTTTTCTTTTACTCTGATTTATTTACAACAATGCATTCAATGACAGTTCAAAGTTACAATGGCACTGAAAAAAGACTTGTGACCACTTTTCACAGTTATGATCTTTGCAGCATCCCCATGGTCACGTGATCAAAATTAAGATGTTGGCAACTGGTTCATATTTATGACCATTGCAGCCTTTCCAGTGTCATGTGAACACCTTTTGGAACCTTCTGACAAGCAAAGTCAATGGAGAAGCCAGATTCATTTAACAACCAGGTAACTAACTTATCAACTGCAGTGATTCACCTAACAACTGTGGCAAGAAATGTTGTAAAATAGGGCTAAATTTACTTAACAAATGTCTCATTAATTTCAACAGAAATTTGGGGGCAATTGTGATCGTAAGTTAAGGATTACCTTTAACCGTGGAAACCTGCAGGGAACCCTAGCAAATAACAGGTACAAAGTTAATTTCTCCTGCTATAAACAGGCATGATATTCCCCTCTGGAAAAAAAATTGGGGCCAGCCAAAAGAGACTGCGCCGCGTGCCAAGAAATCGCACACAAAACACCAATGCTACACACCCTTTCCAGCCGGTCACGTGTGGATCAGCTCCAGAGCTGGGCAGCCGCTTCCCCGGTGGTGGGACCGAGGCCGCCGCCCGGGGAGCGCCCGCTGCTTTCCCTCGCCAGGACCAGGCGGTGGTGTGTTGCACGGAGAGACGGCTGGTCCGTGGCTGCCCAGCTCCCTTTTTCTGCCGCTCAACGGCCTCCGCTCGTACCGCCCGGGCTCCGCTCAGGTGTCCGGCTGGAGCTGTCAGGAGTTGCTACCGCCGGCGCGGCTCTGCACGGCTCTAGTCCCGCGTTGCCTCGGGAAGGGAAAGGCAAAACCGGGAGCCACTGCACCTGAGCCTCCGGTGCCACTGCCGCCGTTGCAAAGCGCCACCGCGGCTCTTCCTTTTTGCCTTTCCCTTCCTGAGGCAATGTGGAACTGGAGCCGCGCCGGCAGTAGCCACTCCTGACTCAGGAGGCCTCCAAGGGGAGGGGAAGGAGGAGAAGAGGGGGGGGGGAAGGGGGGGGGGGGCAATTCCCCCAAAAATCGGAATTCTAATTTTAATCGGAAGAATATCATGTCTGTATAAACTACTGAAAGAAGGAATTGGGTCACAAGGTAAGTTAAATGCACGTTCCTAGATTGGAAGCCATTTGGGATATAAACATCAGAACTACTGTTGCCTGGAAGTCAGTTGCTATTTATGGTATACTTGGTTCTTTCTTTCTTTTTTACGTATTTCACACTTGAGTACCCATGCAAGATAGCATTGCTACACTCTGCAAGAAGAAATCAATTCTACTCCAGATCTGATAGTTTCCAGGAATTAGAGACTTGCCAGTAGTAGTGAGCCACCACTGGTGAGTCTTCAAGAAGTGACAAGGACAAAGTTCAAGACTAACTCAGCCTTCCATCCTTCCGAGGCCAGTAAAATGAATGCCCAAATTGTTGGGGACAATAGTCTGATTCTGCAAACTGCTTAGAGAGGGCTGCAAAGCAGTATGAAGTTGTATATAAGTCTGTGCTGTTGCTATTGCTATGAACTTTTCACCTGGGATCTGATGTGGGGAGGAGACAATGGAAATCATATAATGATTTCTCAGAAAAAGAGAGAAGTGGTTTCATAATATGAGCAAAATCTATCATGAAGATGAGCTGACCACTTGTCAGTGTATCATTAGGTGATTAGCAAGAGGTTCAAGAAATTCCATTCTAAAGAATTTAAGAGATAAACTCAGTATTAAAATAAATATATCCAGTTATCAAGATTTATGTAATCTATAACTTCTTTCTGCATAAATCTTGTTTACATAAAATGTTAGACATGTGAGCTCAGTATTACTCAAATTCAAATATTTGAATTTGTAATACTTCTATACTTTGACAAGATAGCATTATCACATCAAGGTATAGAATAGAAGATATAAATACAATATAAATAAAATATGAGGATAGTTCACTAGAGCAACTTTGGTACAGGTTCAGGAACAAATCTGACCAAACATATCATAGGTTTTATTGGGAGGTTTATGCTGCTGTAATTAAGTAGAAGGAAAAAGCTGTGGGGCTTCTCTCTGGATGAATTCACAGAGAACTATCTTAAAGAGTGTTCTTCTAGGCTGCCAGGTGGAAAATCAAACTTGCAAAACATTTGGCTGATGTCCTGATGCCATCTGAGCTGTTATTAACAACTGGATGGCCTTTAGTGTCTCCCGCTTGGGTGGGGGGTTGGACTAGATGACCTACAAGGTTCCTTCCAACTCTGATTATCTGTTAAAGCTGTTAAATTTAGCAAACAAGTTATTTTGGATTTATTCCAAACTCGGTGTCATTTGGGGCAAAATTACATGTCGTATTACCATCTGTCTGATGTCATCAATGTGCTGGTTATATGCAATTAATATAACCTCAAGCCTGAACTATTTTATTGTGCTCTTCCTAGGAAGTCCTTGAAATGTGAAAAAATGTAGCTAGGCCCAACCATGGCAAGATGGTTGATGAATAGAGCCTCTTGAGATTCTTGATTATCTCCATGTTGAAATAGCTTATTGGTTGCCAATTGTCTTTCAAGATGCTGATAATGCTACTTTACATAGCTTACGGTCAAGATAATTACAGGACTCCTGTTTCCATATAATCTATCATATACTCCAAGTCATCCATATACCATGGATATATTTGGCATCAAAAACTAATTTAGTTTTCTCTTTGTAATTTAGGAGGTATCTCAAAGCCTTTTGTGTTTTAGCCTTCATGTGGAGATGATTTCCTTGCCTGGTCTACCTAAAGGTTAACAATTAAAATGTTTCAATCCATTTTGCCTAACTAATTGGTTATTCTACAGGTCATCCAAGTCATCTTCCTTATACTCTAAAACAGTTTTCTAAAACCAAAACATCTAAGTTTTTTTCAGAAAGAAAATATAAAGCTAGTATTAACATTAATGTTAATAAATATCAATATTTAAATTCTCTGAGAATCACAGAAAAAGTCATGTGGCCGATGGTCTGTCATACTTTATCTAATCTGATGAATGTCTAATATTCAACTAGTGAAAGCTTTACTGCCATTTTTCTTAAAAAATATCAGAGAATGCTGGTTCTTTATTACCTCCACCATGATTGATTATGGAACATATTTTTGCCTTGTATGGACTTCAGCTTTAATTAAATTCTATTGCTTTTCTTTATATTTCTAAAAGATTAATTCATGTATTGCTATTTTAAAACAACTTGGTTTTCAAATTAAATAATAACAATACATTATTTAGAAAATTGTTGGTTCAAAAAGGAAACCAAAAAAATTCAAAGGCAAGAAAGAGTAAAGAAAGCATGTGGGCTATGTAATCTTCCTCCACAGAAGATTAGAAGTACAAATTCATAATTATGGCCACAAGGTGGCTGCCGTGCACAAGAGATGAACTGGTATTCCAGGTAGAGGAAATTAACAACTTCATTAAAGTCAATAAGCAACAAACAACTACTCACTTTTGGAGAAATTCTTGCAATCCTTGGCGACGCTGGTCCACATGTTGGGAATTATTTGAATTAAAAAAGGGAGTTTTAGATGGAAGGTCTGGTAATTGTCTTTAAAAAAAGCAAAGAATAATTAGTGTTCCAAATGAATACATAACTTAAATTAGAAAAGAAATACTGGATTCTTATCAAAAAGAAAAATAAAAAAGAGAAAAAATGGATTCATGAATTTTTATGAGTCAATTCAAATGTCAGCTCTGTTCATTTGTTGTAAAGATGGCTATTTTTTACAGCCCGCCATGGAAAATAATGAATGGACAGAATTGAGATTTGTGTACAAATAGTCCTCGACTTAGCAACAGGAATTTTGGGCTCAAGCATGGTTGTAAGTGAGAAAAGTTAAGTGAATTTTAGTCAATTTTTCAAACTTTCTTGCCACAGTTGTTAGGTGAATCACTGCAATTGTTAAGTTAGTTACACGGTTGTTAAGTGAATTTCACTTCCCGATTGATTGCTTGTCAGAATTTCAAACAGGTGATCACATGATCACAGGACACTGCAATCATCATTAACATGAGATACTTGCCATCCGAATTTTGATCATGTGACCATGTGGATGTTGCAACAGTCATAAGTGTGAAAAAGTTACAAATCACCTTTTTTAGTACTGATGTAACTTTGAATGGTCACTAAATGAACTGTTGTAAATTGAGGAATACCTGTATTTCATTTGATTTTTTTAAATTGCCTAAACAGTGTAAGCTGTTTAAATGCCTTTTATTTGAAAAGATCTAGGAGCTGCAAAATAAAAAAAAGGATTGGATGGGCTTCTGGTATTCATGAAATCCAGGAGTCTTGCTATTTACTGTATATCATCTATTGGATTATCACTTTGATCCAAGAGTATTATTTATTGGATATGTTATTGGATTAAAATTATTCTGTTCTATCCCAAGAAAATGACATTCCCTCCTAGGAAAGGGTTATTCCAAGTCTGAGACTAAAGGATAAAGTAAAGCCCT